TCAGGAATTCTCAAGGTAGAGCTGACTCCCCAGTGGCTAGACAGTGGCTGGTTGTAATTTTCACTTGATATCTGTAACTCAGGGTCATATTGGCTCTATAGGATAAACATAGGTTGAGAACCACAATGCCTCAGTGGTCCGCTGTTAAGCAGGCAAAAAATGAGGCTTTCTGCTTCTGCAAAGATTCTTAAAGCCTAGGAAACCCAATACAGGATTGCTTGAGTCACAACTGAGTCCATGGCATTTGAAAATAACATTTATAATTCCAGTGTGTTTTCTATTTATGGAGCCTTGATGCAATGTGGTAGGATAAGCACTGGACTGTTAACTGTAAGGTTGGTAGTTCAATTCCACCAGCTGCTCCTAGGAACCCTATACAGGGTCACTAAGAGTTGGAACCAATTTGATGGAACTTAGCAACAACATCCATGACTCTACTTTTTCTCAAACTCAAGAAAACGAACCAGAACACCAAGTGTTGAGTGTAATGTTATACATCAAGATAAGCTAGTTTCTTTTGTAATAAATTACTTGGAAACTTGGGTATTTTGTGATTAATAACAAACTGATTGTGACATACTTCATCGTTCACATGTGTGCTGAGACTTCATGAAAGATAACAGTTGTTCAATGATGGATGCATATGTTATAGAATTTGTGGAAGAACATTTTGTCTTTCAGGTCACGATGATGCCATTTGGTGCTTTATAGCATGGCACTAAGTGAAAACCTCAGTGGCCCAAAGAGATCAGCTCTCTCAAACAGAGGTTGGCAAACTTTTTCTCTAAAGGCTCAAATGACATTATTTTAGGTTTTGTGAGTCCTAAGGTCTCTGTTAAAACTATTCAATTCTGCCACTGAATTGCCAAAGCAGCAATAGACAACAGATACATAAACAATAAGCCTAGCCGGGTTCCAATCAAACTTATTTTATGGGCTCTGAAATTTTTATTTCATATAGTTTTCAGATGTCCCCAACTACTTTGTTTGATTTTTCTCAACCATTAAAAAATGTAAAAATCATTAACTCAAAAGCCACACATGTACACAAAGACAGATTTGGCTCCTGGCCAGATCCTGGACAGTAATTTGTTAATGCTGGTGTGGCACTGTGGGTTAATGAGTCAGACTGCAAAGCCATTTGAACTGCAAGGTCAACAGTTCAAGATTGCCAGCAACTCCTTGGAAACCCTATATAGGGTCGTTATGGGTTGGAACTGACTCAACAGCACCTAACAACAACAACTCTTTTGTATGAAATCAATACTCAGCAAACAAATTAAGTAGGTTAATCTGATTGTTTATGACATCTGTGAAGAACTGTACTTAAATTAATTTTAGCTAAAATGTGAAGAAGTATTTTATGTTTTAGATAACACCACATATAGGAACAAAGAATTCAACATTATATAGATAGAAGCTTTCTTTGTCTGAAATCACTCAGGGCCCTGATATCAAAGACAACACATTGGAGACCTTACTTGTATACAGTCATGGCACACATATCATGCTGGATCAAAAAAGGTGAAAGCACTATAATACCAAATTTATGCAACACAAATTTAGGTTTTCTTTTTTTTTTTTTTCCTGAATACGTCATGATAAGAAGGAATATGATGTATACCTTTGCAAAATTTGTAAACATTCCACTATGCCAATATAATTCTTGTGTTAAAAAGAACATAAACGTTGGGAAAGCCTGGGTCTTCTAAATCCATTAAAAATGTTTTCATTACTGCTTATTTACTATAGAATTGACTATAAGATTAGTTTGCATAGTTATATGTAAAAAAGACAAAGTACAAGAAAGAGTAAAATCAGAAGCAGGTTGGTAGACAGTAGCAATATGGTGTGAGTAGAGACAGCTCTCTGTGATTCATGGGAAAGAGGGTTCACAGATTAATTTATTAGAAAGTGTTTCATTTGTTGTAAAATAGTTCCTATCATCCAGCCTCAGACCATTACAAACCAGCAAGAAATTTCACCTGTTTAGGAATCGGGCAGTTCAAAACATGTAATACTAAATGTGAGCCTCATTCCTATGCTTGTTTTTGTTGTTGTTATTGTTGTTTTATAAATATCACTAGGTACACATCTGGGGTTTTACTGCATGCCACAGTGTAATTCTCTGGTTGAAATATATCTAAAAAATGAGTATATTAACACCCAGGCTATAGAGCCAAGCACATTTTAATGCAGGCTACAGCTGAAAGAATATGTTTCCATTCCTTGTCCATCTGTTCTTGGCAACACAGATTAAGACTAGAAACAGAATAAGTTTTACAAGAAATAAGTCTAAATAGAGTTTAATACAGAGATGTGAATTCTCTAAGTTAATAGGACTTATTAACATTTGATTTTGTAGCCAGAGGTGGTTTTTACTCAAGGTATTCTCTTAACTTTAAAGGTATTCTTTAAAGTTAAAAAAAATAATAATAGCCTTGTATATCTCACTTTAAATAATTATAAATTCTGGTCATACATTCTAATCTAAAGCTTTATATTAAACTTGACAATGTTTATAATACCAAATTTTGATATTTCAAAATGCTATTTGCCATATATTGAACTATTCTGAAAATGAATCATTTAAATATCTGAACTCCTAATAAATTCATTCATAGAGAGTGAAAGCTGTCCACACCAAATGAATTCAACACAAAATACATTTTCCTGGTTTTCTGTGAATCTGCCTTTGCTATGACCAATTTTAAACTCATATAGTTGTCTTGTATACTTTGTACTTAATACCACCCTCTCCAGGTTTTTTTGGTAATAAAGCAATAATCAACTATTTAATTGTATTTGAAAATACTTTCGGAGTACAAATGTAAGTCAAAAGTATTGCTACAAAATCATATAAATATTTGTTTAAGAAAAATAAAATGATATGAAGTTGTTGTTTCTCAACATATCCTAAATCTAAGTCTATACACTCTGAAGGTGATTCTACTCTCTCAAACACTTCCTCAAAGAATTTTGAGCTTTACAAGTTACTTCATTTCAAAATGGCAATGCTGGATCCTCAAGGGCCTCAAAATTGTTTTCCTTTTAAATGTTTGAGTTTTGAGAACAAAAAAGAAAGTCTGAAGGGGCAAGATCAGGGCTGTGGGACAGATGGGGTGAATTTTCCAAACATCATTCTTCCAAACATCCATCATCAAAAACAGTGCTTGATACCATCAAAAATGAACTGGTGAATTGTATTGATAGGGGGGAAAGAATCATTGGCACAAATTGCGGGCCTTTTTCTCATCAATATAGTTTTAATTTTCCTACAACTTCTTTCTAATAAGCCTCTATGATCATCCTGTGAATTTCTAGAAAATCTGTCAAAATTACCCCATTGTTATTGTTACGTCCTGATACTGTATAGGGTTCCCAAGAAGCAAGTGCTGGGTTTGAACCATCATACAGTAAGCAATCTAGTGCTTATCCTATAATGTCACATCAGGACTCCGCAGAAACGTTCTTTATAACCTTCTGAGATGACTTTGCTGGCTTGGATTTAACTAGTCATGTAGATCATTTGGAAGTCACTGTTTTGATTGGACTTTTTTTTTCTTTTTTGAAGGCACCCAATGAGACTAAGACATATGTATTACTGAGGGTACTTGTCAGTAGCTATCCAGTGCTCACAAAGATATGTTTCAACACATTTTGACTTTTTTTTTTTTCTTTATCAACATTGTGCATGTGTGAACTGGAACCCTAGTAACAATATTTTTTGACTCATCATCATACTCTCCATTCAAAAGTCTGAAGACTCTGTTTTCCAAAGAAAACTTTTCCTTTTATTTATCATAGTTGTTTTCTTCATAAAGAAATAATATTTATTCAGTTAGACATTTTGATCAAAACTACACGAGAGTCTAATTTCATTGGATACTGAATATTATATCAGACAGCAAAAACACAAATATTAATAGAGCTGAGGACCATATATGTGCACCTAGACTTCTGCGTCCAAGTCAAGAGTTGGGCACACTAAAATAAATCTGTAAAAAGATGGCTGTATTGAGGGGCTTGGCTCTCTGGGAATCTATTACATGAGTGCAACCTTCAAGTTGGAAAGGGACCTTGGAGTCCACACAGGCAATTTTACTGTCAATGTAAAAAATATTTTCTATTTATTATTTTAAAGTCTTTTTTTTTTTTAACATGAACTGATTTATCAATTATAGCATTGTAGATTCAAATATTGACTCCGTTACCTAGTAGGTATGTGAATATTAATAAATTACATAATTAATTTAATTTTCAGCTTCTCTAATGGTAAATAGGGATGATAACAGTGGTCTCAAATTGGGTTAAGAAACAGCAAATGAGAAAATATACAGAAAGCAATTCGTCCAGCTACATGTACATAGTAAACACTCAGCAATAGATACTTGTCACTATTAGACCCTTTCTACTCTCTTGTGTTAAAAAGTAAAATAAAATAATGACTGTTCTAATGGTGTGTGCACGCATAAGGTCACACCATGAGTGACAGTCGACTCAATGGTGACTAACAGCATACCAAGCATATTCCTTATTATAAAATCTTTCAAAACAATCATGTTGTTTCTTGAACTTCTACACAAGTTACCAATGACTATGGACCAGTTACACAATGATTTAAGACCCCATGTCTTTCTAGCTATAACGTGTGAAGCTTCAAGTTAATGATCTCTAAGATCCTTTGTTCCAGTAATTTAACAAAATCTTACTTGACAGCATATCCTCATACTTTATTTATAGTGTTGAAATGTGTATCTGCTGCCAAACTGTCTCATGTGGGATGTATAAGTGTTCCATATATACATGTGGAAGAGCATTAAGTTTGTTGATGTCAAAAACTACTGGTAAATTTTTTGGCACTATTTGGCTCAGATTCTTTTCTTCCCATTTTGTTTTAGAATAAACTGACAGCAAATCGTTTTCCATAGAACCTCAAGGTTTAGTTAAACTGAAAGAGTTTTATATCTGTACCCTACAAGGCATCTGTTTCCTTTCAGACCTGAGTGATCAGCTACTGGAGGTGGTGGGCCTGGAAGGAGCCATGGAGATGGGCCAGATATACACAGGACTGAAAAGTGCTGGGCGACGGCTGGCTCAGTGTTCTTCTGTGGTCATCAGGTAGGTGGGTTTTTTTTTCTTTCTATAATTGAAAAGGTGGTTGGGATGGAATAACTACAAAATAATTACAAGTATGCAAGTCTCTAATTGTGGCATACATCTTATTTGTGCCTTAAATGATCAATGGTTAATACTGATGCATTTTTTAATAATGGCAATTTGAAGACTATACCAATTGTTGGTTAGCTCAGAATCACTGGAATTCAATTTTCCCTTGTTATTTCCTTCAATTCATCAATTCTAACATACAGAGTTCATCTGTACAAAATTGGTTCACAGGAGTCCTGATGTGGCATGGTCAGCACAGGACTTCTGATCATAATCTTGGTGGTTCAAACTCCCTAGCTGCTCCTTGGAAATCCTATACAGGATTGCTATGGGTGAGAACTGAGTGGACTGAATTTAACAACAACAACAAATTGATTCATAATCCCTGAGTGGTATAAATGGTTTGTTTTCTACTACTGATCTAAAGATTGGTGGTCCAAACACATCCAGCAATGTTTTACAGGAGAAAGATCTGGTGATCTGCCTCCCTAAGACTAGAGTCAGGAAAACTCTGTGGAACACTTTTATAACACACAGAGTTGCCATGATTTGGAAACAACAGTGATAGGTTTAGTTGATTTGGCTAAACTGATTCTCACTCAGCTCAATTCACCACAGCCTCAAAATACCTACTGCGCAAATTACCCAATGAAAGCACTATTGAGGTACCTTTAATTGAAATTCTTTCATGGATTAATCTAACACTGTTTCTATAAAATTAGATCATTTATAATTATAAAATTAAATTATTAGAATTGAATCACTCAAAATCATTTCTTTTGAAGAATTATTATTCTGAATCCTGAATGTGTTTACTATGCTTTCTCCTCATTCTAGATTTCCAATTTATAATTTTTTATACAACAATGGCTAAAAACATATTGCTTCATACCTTTTGGAAATATATAAAGTATACATTACAAATAGAGTTAAAAATATTAAATGAGATTGTGTAATCAAGACTTAGAAAATTTTAAGAATACATACTAATTTTCAAATTTTGCTTTATCTTGGGACATTGGGAAGCATTTTAATCCAAATAATAATTATCCAAAGGATTACGATCCTACCTAAGGTTAAAATTGCATGAAAAATCTTAACAATATTAAGCATGCTAGCTTGAGTATTAACGTAAACGTAAAAATAATTTCTTCAGTTTTTTCTTTGGTATCCAACTTAAGCATTTTTTTTTTTTTATTTTAAATTTTTGTATCTGTTAGGAACTTCTTGGCAAAATTTACCCCAATAGCACTAAACTGAAACTATCTTACTGGAAGTGGTGAGAACTTAAGCTATCATTTTATCGTATAGTAATTTTCCTTCAATATATGGTCTCTGTCTTGGAATTCCATTACCTCCTGCCTTTATAGATGATCTAATAACCTAAGTAGAAAATAGCAAAACCTTTATTTTAATAATTTTCATCATTTTAATCTTCTAATGGTTTATTCCACAACAGTAGATAAATTATAAAAATTAAAGTGTAAATCTTAAAGTTAACTTCTCTGCTCTATTTAAATTCTATGTATATTAAAAATACAAACCTCTCAGAATGGCAACAACAACCACAACAGAAAAATGCTGGTGTTCCATAAAAATATTATCAAGACCTAGTTCAAGTAATTACCTTGTATTTTCTCAATATGAAAACCAAAACCACTTCTGTCAACTCAATTCCAACTTACAGAGACTATATATAGACAGCATACAATTCTTCCATGAGGTTTCTGAGGCTGTAAATCTTTAGAAAAGCAAACTGCTTCATTTTCCTTTTGCTCATAGAAATTAGTTGTTTGGTTTTTTTAAGTTGCTTTTATACTTTCAGGTGAAATATGCATAAAATAAACAAAGTATATTTAATTTCTAACTTTTTCCTAATTAAACTAAGTACTCTTACTAATGTAGATTTATAAATGTGATTCTTTAAGTCTAATATTAATAGATAAGGTTAATAGATTCTTTGGTAAAATATTAATGCCATTGACAACTGTTTTATTCTATGTTAAATTTGTAAAAACTGTTTTTTAAAAAACTGCACAGGTTGAAGCAATCTTCATGACATACACAAATAAAAATAGTTACTTCAAAACTATGTCAGGGTATTGAATCAAGTAATAGTACAGTATGAATATACACAAATCTCTGATAGACCCCTTTCTTCAGAAAATTTATCTTTAAGTGTATAAGTTGGCAGTTCAAACCCACCAGCTGTTCCTTGGAAAGTCTACATTGGGTTGCTATGAGTCAGAACCAACTCGACAACACTCAACAACAACAACAACCAAAAAATGCTGGTGTTCCAATGCAGAGAGTGCGGTGGCTAGATGAAATAAGCACTAGACCGTGAACCACAAGGTCCACAGTTGTTCCATGGTAGAAATATGAAGCTTTCTGCTCCAACAAAATTTTTTTTAAAAGCCTTGAAAACCCTATACTGGGTTGCTATGAGCCAGAATTGACTTGAAGTCATTTAACTTGAGTATTATTGCTTGTTGTATTTTTCATTTCGAGAATTTGCTTAAATGTCACTGCAGTGTAGTGAATTGCTTCATATGGCTCTTCTAACCATAGACTTTGTAATTATCACCAAACAACATTTTTTTCCCCCTGCTAGGTCTGGTTTGAAAGAATACAACCCTGTCACACATCTTTCTTAATTTTAAACCATTCATAGTTCCCATGTTCTATTCCAACAACTGCCTCTTGGTCCATGCACAGATTTCTCATGAGCACAATTAAGCACAGTTAAGTTCTGGACTACTCATATTTCACAATGTTGTCTGCAGCTTGTCATGATCCACACAATCAATAGCTGTTGAGTAGTCAATAAAGCACAGGTAAACATCTTTCTGGCATTCTCTGCTTTCAGCCAAGATCCACCGGACATCAACAGTGATATCCCCCATTCCACATCCTTTTTTGAAGCTGGCTTGAATTTCTGGAAGTTGTCTGTCAATGGATACTTGCAGCCATGTCTGTATTAACTTTAGTAAAACTTTACTCTCATGGAATATCAAAGAGATTATCTGATGATAACTGCATTCTGGTATTCCGCATTCCACATACTTATTCAACCTGTATGTGGAGCAAATAATCGGATAACCTGGATTATATGAGGAAAAACATGGCATTAGGACTGCAGGAAGACTCATTAACAACCTGTAATAAGCAGATCATACAACCTTGGTTGCTGAAAGTAAAGAGGATTTAAAATATTTACTGATAAGATCAAAGACTTCAGCCTTTGGTATGGATTGCTTCTTGATGTAAACAAAACAAAAATCCTCACCACTGGACCAATAAACAACATTCTTATCAATGGAGAAATGATTGAAGTTGTCAAGGACTTCATTCTTCTTGAATCAACTATCAACATTCACGGAAGCAGCAGTCAAGAAATCAAACGACGTATTGCATTAGGCAAATCTGCTGCACAAATTTTTTAAAGCGTTGAAAAGCAAAGATGTAAGCTTGAGGACTAAGGTGTGCTTGACCCAAGCCATGGCATTTTCAATAACCTCATATGCATGCCAAAGCTGGACAGCGAACAAGGAAGACTGTAGAAGAATTGATGCTCTTGAGTTATGGTGTTGGAGGAGAATATTGAAAGTGCCATGGGCTGCCAAAAGAACCAACAAATC